TTATACTTAAGCATTGTATATTTAACCTATACAGTGAGTATAAAAAGAGTAGGGAAATAATAAAAGATATAAAATATAGAAAGGAGTAGGGAAATAGTAAGACCTATAATACTTTACTTACTAGTACATAAAAACTCTTATTTTACAAATGATCGCATGTAATAAAATAATTATTTAAAAGACGATAAGTTTTCACAGATGATTAGAATGCTGTCGCCGTGTACATTTGTCCAGGTGAGAAATAAAACATATATAACAGGAAAAAAATGCATTCTGGGTTTCTGTTTTGTTTCCATTATGAAAATCAAACAAATGTATTTTTATGTAACATTTTAGATAATAACTACATAGAGATTTTTAAAAGCAAACCTCTGTGTCAATCACTCATCTGATGCTTACGATACAAAGCCCAATAGAGAGCTTCCAGGGCAGAGGCTTGCATAGTCGAGGCCAGAAGCCTGGTAACTGACGATGCCTATGCATGTAGTTCTTTAGGGACATACTGAAACCAGGGTTGTTTTCTCAAGTCTATCCAATACACGAAATGTTCTTCATGTTATGCTATATTGAAATAAAGTTGTACTATCTTTCCAATATGGCTGCAAGCATTTGTTAGAGACCTCACTGACCATTTAGCACAGTCAGGATTATAGCAGAGCTGTGACAAACCTGGAACTAATATCATATTATCGAGGGCCTTATCTTCTTTATAACACATACATTTAACTTGGTAAAGCCTTCATGTTAACTTAGAGGATCTAGTCAATGAATTAAACATTTATTGATAATATTCATGGCCACAAGAGACTAATTTATATACTTTATAATTTTGAAGTTAATCCTTTGAAATAGCCAATCTTTTCTAAACTGATTCTCAAACAAGTAAACTGTCTTAAATGTCGCTACTCAAAAATTTAACATAAATTCTGTGTTTGGGAGGACTTTCTCTATTTCTTGAGGTTCCTCATGATTTTTGGTAACTCAGCAATTTGTGTCTTTTCTTTTTCAATATCACAATAAAATCATTAGAGTATTCCTTCAAAAGATATTTTAAAATGTCAGTGTAACTTGTGAGAGTTTGCATAAGACCATTTATAAGAAGTGTTTCAAAAAAAAGTGTTTCCTGTTATTTTAGTAATTTAAAAGGTTTTATACCAAACATTGCTCTCCTATAACAGCCCGTAAATTAGAATCAAATGAGTACAGAGTGGATGTTTGATATGTGATTTTAATTATACTAATTATTACACAGAATAACATTTAAATGCAGCAGATACTTTTACAAATCCTTGTCATAGAAAATAATTATTTTCCAACAATAGTATCTACAAGATGAAATATTTTAAAAAACAGTGCTGAAAATTTTTAATCAAATATATCAAGTTGCTTTTCCTTTAACAAGACGAGAACGGCATGCTACTTGTGAATGAAACTAAATAAGGTAATCATTACTCGTAAGTGTCCATCACACTTACTGTGAGGACCTATGCTCTACTATTTGGAGCATAGATACAAGGACCAACCTTAGCCACTGAAGTTCTAGCTAGTAACAGTATGCTTCCCATGCCTCAGTTTTCTTACCTAAAATAAAGACATGTTCTTTAATGAATTAAAATTATCTAAAGATAGTTATGCAAAAGCCTCTTGCCTATTGCAAGGAATATTCTAACACAAGTAACTTTGTCAGATGTCAGCTCTCAACAGCTTTCATCTACAGGACTTGGTTTATAATTGCTGATCTTAACGTCCCTATAAGAATATATTCCCTAGAACATACTATAATTCTAATTATAAGCCTAATTTTCCAGCAAGTAAATGAGTTACTTTCTTACTTTATGAATAGTAACATTTTTCAAATTACTATAAAATATTAATAATGACAAAAATTAAAATGAGCAGTAAAACTAAAAACAGAACATTTTAAACTTCTACATAACTGAACTAAATTTACGTATAAATATATGGAATGAGAGATTTCAATAGTTCATTTTCTGAAATTAAATGAATTCATTTAAAATTTCCCCTTTTAGATGTAAGTGGACCTTTTTCCCCACTCTTATAAACACACTACAATAACACTAACTTTGATTGATGGCTACTTAGCCCTAAAGTTTATTTTTTTATTTCAATATACTCCAACTACAAATGTTTGAAAATGTCTACGTGGAATATTACTAAAATCAAGTCACAATACATTCATACACAAGCTACAAAAGCATGTTTCAAAGTGTCACCGTCTTTAAAAGTTTTTCTGTGAAATAACACCCTTAATATCATTCCCAATAAAACATTTCGGTTCATTTTGTTTCATTTTGATGATCTAAATCTAGAGTGAAATGATGAAATCAAAACACAAGTGTTCTTGTCAGAAAACAGGAAGAAAGGGGTTTATTTTTGCCTCTCAAATGGAAAACAAAGGATTCCTGAGGCTCGCCCTGATTTATTTTTCCAATTTTAAATACTTTAAGAGCAGCGGAAGTGCTACTGGCATGGTAGTATTTCTAACAGTCAATAAATCTAAAATATTATGTGTGAATATTGGAATGAAGCCATTAAGAAGATTACAGCATGCAACGCACCAGAGGGTCCACAAGAGAAAAGGGCTAGTAATTCAGGACAACTGTGACCACTGACCTTTGAGCAGCCACGGCCACTGGTCAATGTGGCCCAGTAATGGACTGCACATGCACACAGTTACCCAGCCTGTGATCATAATTTAAATGCTTTGGGGGAAGATTTTTTAGAGGAGCTCCTTTTAAATCTCGGTTAACTTATTAACTAATCAAACAATACCTTTCAGGCTTCAAAACTATTTATTAACGTAAACCACATAAAAATTGAGTTCTTCAGGATTTTGTCAGATCTTACTTAAAACATTTGCCTTAAACTGTGTTGTAATACTTTATTGTATTTCCTCCAGAGTTCTAAAGGCCAGCCTTGAAAAACTCATAAAAATGAAAACTTTATTAGAGATGCACTGAATAATCACCTAAAATATTTTAGAAATTCACTACAATTTTAAAACACCCCTATTTTCAACAAATGGTATTATTCTATCTCAGAGCTTTTATTTGCCGAGTCTTCAGCTGTCGGCAAGTCTGTGGCCTTCAAACAACAGCATCTCTGCTATTGCCTGGGCTGGCTTGCAATGCTCCTTTCACCTACATGCTCACAATGGCAGTCAGCCTGATGTGGTGCTAAGGAAGCCGATACTGACTCTTTTTTTTTGCATTTTGTATAACCTCATATTTGTATCTGTACATCTGGGAATGCTGTTTAGCATTCCTATACATTTAAATCAATATCTTAATTACAAAAAATTCTACAAGAGAAATGCTTCATAGTGAAAACGAATTCCCACTACACTGAGACTTCAAAGGCTCTTCCCACGGATCAAGCTCAGTGGACTATACAGATTTTAATATCGTGTCCAGAAAGGCTGAACTGAGTTCCTCTCTTTCTCCTCTTTATAGTAAACAACCTTCCCTCCTAAAGCTAACAGTCAGAAATGTGCATACCCTAAGGAAAATGTTTTGAAAAGCTGGAATTCTATTTTCCTAACTATGTTTCTATCTAGTGAAAAAGTGTGTGGATAGATTTCTAAATGCATATTGAATTCCTCCTGGCACTCTACAGAATTCCATACCAAAGCATGTAGCTACATTACGTTAAGAAGACAATATCAGCACCCAATGGTCTGCATTTGGATTATTTACATAGAACAGTTTTACTGTAGTGACAATTCAGTTCAGTTTAATGAATTTAAAGGCCAGAGAATGGTTTGCTCATTGATAAGCATAAGTAATTCTGCTTTGACATTAAACTCCCATTTTCCTATCACTGGCCATAAGAACAATCTAGGCTAGTACTAGTTCATTCCTTAAATTAAATTTTTGTAATTTATCTTCTCAAACTTCCTAATAATGGAGAAAATTGAGATAAAATATATTCCAAGGTTTACTTTTAATTCTCAAATTTTAAAAAATTTGAAAAGAATGGACACTTTGAGGGTTTTTTTTAATAAGGGAGTTATTTTAAACTTACAGTTATGCTATAAAGATATTTAAATAGTCATTAAATCTGTACAGAAATAGCAATAGTTTGAAATTTTACCCTAAAGAACATAAAAGCCAAAACTGCATTTTTACATAGACTATTTAATATGAAATACAGAATGTATCTATTAAGAGCTGCAAACACACACACACACACACACACACAGACCCTCCGTAAGATCAAAGAGCTGAAGAGAACCGGCACTTAATTTATCAGCTTTACAGACAAAAGACAGTTTTCATCATTTCAAAAGGATCCGTTGTCTTTTATGACAAACTGGGTTTGCAGTTTAATTTACAAATAGAATTCTAAGTAAGCATTCTTTGCTCTGCCAAAGCAGATGACAAACTGTAGGTTTTTATTCTTGTGGCCCTCAGCAGGACAGGAAAGATTAAAATAAAACTGAAATAATTTAGAAAAAAACAAATAAATGTTTCAGAAAGTTGAGAGAGATCAAAGCCAGAATTTTCTGACCCCAACTGTACAAGCATTTCTTATTATATTGACCAGTGCCATCAGATCATTAATTAAAAGGAAAAGCGCTGGCAGGTGGCAGGGAAGCAAAAGCCGATAATTGGCCCCTTCTTCTTCTTGCCTTCAAAAACTCTCATTCTTCTGCAAGACATGCCACTAGGCAGACAGAATGCCTACTTTGTAATATAATGATTAAGATGAGATGAAGAGACTTGATGTTTAAAGAAACTCTGCCTAATGAATGCATCTAGCTTCTTAATTATGATCCCATTTCTGCAATAAGGAATATGGTATTCCATTTAACATCTCAACTGCCAAAAGGTAAAAATATTAAAAATAGAATCTGCATTGATTCTTCTTATAAACCTTGCATACACTGACTTTAAAGGTTCAGATACAAAGTAGAAAATAGTAACTTGAGGGTCCAGCAACAAACATTCTTGTTCACCACAGATATCCCTTGGACTTACCACATCACTGGGTAGGTTGCTCAAGTCATTAAATGGTGATTCTAAAGTGTTTGTGTCAACATTTAACACAACCACATCTTCCAATGATTTATTTTTCACTCTCTGTTTAAAAACACAATTATGGAAAAAAAAAGTCTTGTTATATTTTTCTTACAAAATTATGATGAGTTTGGAAACAAAAAATTATCTTAGTGCATTCAGTTTAGGAAAATTCAATATTATAAAATAACATAAGCAACTTTACTTTCTGAGAAAGAAAATTTGACTATAACTTATTCAAAAGATTAGATTAAAAAGCTTAAAATAGAAAATTTCCTCATCTCATATCAAATTAATATAACTGCCAAAAATTTAGTACAACAAAAACTTGGAAAATAGGCAGAGGTACATCAAAACATAAAAACTGCAGGCTTTATCATTTGAATGTCAATCCTATGATATGGTAATTTGTTTCCAGCTTTAAATCTACTTTAGCATAAATTCAGTGGAGAGACAATTAAAAACCCTTAACTATGGCCACAGTATTAAGCTACACGCCAAGTGAGTAAATATTCCTATACTCTGTACCAATATGCATCAATGAGTAGGACTGAAACTGAAATGGGAACCTAATGCAAAGACTACTACTATGCCATTTGTCCATTGTATCCTCACATGAATTTCTTTGTAAAGGAGGAAAATTTAAGTCCATCAGATTGACATATCTTCCCATGTTGTTTGAAAATCTAGTAAAGTGGTATTTCAATGAGTTTACAAATAACAAGTAAGTTATAAAAACTTTATCTAAGTTGTTAAACCTAAAGAGGAAATACTTATAGTTTTCTCTGTTTCACATATCTACCAAATTACTGAATTCTGCTGTCACAACATTCTTCAGATGTAACTGACGCCTTCAAGAAATGAAATACAACCATGAATTCAGAATTCCACATTCATACAGGCTGAGAGGTGAAAGGCAATAAATAATTTCAGTGAAGTACTAAGGGCCTTCTACACAAAGCACTTAGTACTTTTAGTTAAATGAATGATTATCAAAGCTATCAAAAAAATGAAGGCCAACATGTTGCCAAATCTGAAAAAGACTAAAAACCTATATATACAAAATGTTCAATAAATGCCAAACAGAAATATAAAAACTATGCCAAGAAAACACCTCTAGGAAAAACTTAAGTACTCTACAGTGACAGAGGCTCACCGGAGTGAAAAGGCCAGCAGGATGGATGGATTACAAGGGGTAGTTTCTGGATGTACTGACATCAGACGTCATATGTGCAACTACACCAATCTTAAACACACTTCCGTAATTCAAATAAGTAATCAAATAAGTAATAAGTAAATCAAATAAGTAATTAAAAAAAAATGAATGATTATCTTTTTCAGAGAGAAAGAGAGACAGAGACAGAAACAGAGAGACAGAGAGAGATCTATGTAGCCCTGGCTGTCCTGGAATACTATGTAGACCAGACCAATCTTGAACTCACAGAGATCCTCCTGTCTCTGCCTCCAAAATGCTGTGATTACAGGCATGTTCCACCAGCTAAGTGCTTCCATTTCAAACTAGTTTAACCAATTATTCTGTTACAAATTGATTCTAATTCAAGTGCCTCTGACCCATTTTGGATCTCAAATCTTTGAGCATTTAGTAGAATGTGAAATTTCCTACAGAAATGATAAGTTGGGATGAGGAATTTCTATGTGCTTAGAAATCCACAATGTAGACTGTGCATTCTCAAGGCACATGGTTTTAACATGTCTTGTAAAAGATATTGAAGTTACTATAAACTCAGAGTTAAAAGATGGCTACCTCTAAGTTATTACCAAAAAATCATTTTTCTGGTAAGATAATTAACATTCTATAGAAATGTAGAAATATACTCATTTCCAAGCTTTCTCGTGTATAAAAATATTTAAAAGGTTTAAATGCATAACTAAATACATATATTAACTATATTTTAATAGAACTTTACGGGCAAAATATATAATGCCATTTTAAGACATTTTAAATATGTCATAATATGATGACTGTTTCACTTTTTTACTTTTTTGTGGTGTTCTCATGCCAGAGGAACTGATATGACCCAGAAGACTAAATCTATTTTTCCCAATGAGAAATGAGTTTTTCTAAACACTCTAAAATAAAGACTATGTGTCACAAAGATGTTTCTGATGACATTATTACAAAAGTCTGAGTAATAGTATCAACATGATATGGAGACTTTTTAAATTACTCTTAGTTTTTAAGGCAGATAATAACATTAAATTGTATTCAAGGAACCACACAATAAAAGTAGAAAAAATCTGTTTGCTACTAATAGATAAATTAAAACTCTAATGTTAGAATAAATCATAATATCAAAAGGGGAAACGTAGGTTAGAATTTAACTATCTTGAAAACACTGATAGCATTATACTTTGTTTTCTCCAGATCAAGTGTTAGCTGTGTCTTCTCTATCTAGGGATGTAAGTCAGAAATGGCACCTCTTCCTCTGTCTCATAGTTTTATATCTTATACTTTTGTAGGGGTGCAATTTAAAAGTAAATATATATTTTTTCCAGAAAAATAAGAACATAATGCTTGCCACAGAGAGAAAGGCTGGTAAAAATAGTGAGGTCCTGGTGTGGCAGTCTCTCTGACGTCTTGCAGATTCAGCCCTTGCACACACTCGAGGCCGTAGGCCTTGTGCACATTGATGTGCTGTACTGGCACCGGGCAGCAATCACAGAGCCTCGGGGGAAGGTCCAGAACTGCAGAGCTCTTCCACATGAAAGCAGGCAAGGCTGCCCTTGCATCTGCAGCATCTGAGGGTCTCCAGTGAGCACTGAGTCAGCATTTAATTCCACCCAGAGGTCTGGGTGTCAGGGAAAATAAAAACTGTTTCTCTTATCAGAAATAAGTTTGCACTTTGAAAAGATACTTTTTCATCACTCCTTATTCACAACTATGGAAAAACAAGTGAAAGGAAGTTTCTAAGAACATTAATTTCATGTGTTAGAACCTGGAGGTTTTTATACAATTAATAGTATTAGTAGAGACTGTAAGGACCAAAAAGAGGAGAAGACTTTTTAGATTTTCCTTCAAAAATAGTTTCAATTACTAAACAAAGGCAAAAAGTTATTCATTACTCATCTCTGTCTCATATATTACCTATACAAATATCTATATTCAGTTTAAAACATATGTATTATAAAATAAAAGCAAAAGCTAAAATTTTAACTTAAGACTGTTTGACAGTGTTATAATAAAGAATGAACTATCATCTTACTGTAGCTTAAAGAAAGCTGCCAAGTGATTTTTTTTTTAATATTTATGACTGTATGTCTATGTGTTGGGAACTGGAGCTACAGATGGTTGTTAGGTGCCTTTGGGGTGCCAGGAATCTCACCCCGTTCTTAAGGAAGAAGTGCTCTTAACTACTGAGCCATCTCTCCAGCCCCAAAGCACCTCATTTAAAGGAAGCTCAAATACATTTTTTTTTCCTTCCCTATCAACAAGTTGAGCACAGGCTGATAAACAAGATAAGCACAACACAGAAACGTGGGAATGTCATGCAGTCTAAATCTGGCTCTAAATGTCCCACTTCATAAAAACAAAAAAAACCAAAAAACCTGAAAGTTAGAATGCGCTTTTTCTTCACTATAGTATTTTTCAAAAAGTACAAAAATCAATTTCAGAAAAAGATTGAGGGGAAAATAAATTATATTTTCATTTTTCAAAAAATTATTTTAAATTTAAACTTTCTTTTTAAGTGGCAAATAAGTATGTGACAAATTAAATAAAATACCTAGTATGCATCCTCATCCACAATTTGTTATTTGTTTTAAAGGCTGTTGTAGAAGCATTCCACACACAGAATTAACATAAGAGGTACTCTCTTCAACTTTAAATAATTTTCATCTCTAAGTAAATACTAAAAAATTATGTGTGCCATTAGTACATTTAGTGTAGAAATTATGAAAGTTGATCTTTGTTACTTTTAAGGAAAAAATCCAAGCAATTAAATACATGAAAGTCAAATTTGGATTATATCATACCTGATCTTATCACAGATCCTACCTATCTGTTCATGTTTCATTTCATACACTTCACCCTTGGCTTATAACAGTTTCTTAATATTAATAAAATATAAGGAGCCACAAATTTATCCAACTTCAATACTATAAGCATATTAAACCTACTGAAATGCATTAGAATCTATACTTTAGTCCTGATAGAACAAAAGAATCATTGCATTAGCATTGGGGGGTGGAAAGCTCCAAACCTGAGAATAGATAAAATTCTAGAATCAAAGCTTTTCTCAGGGATAGGACTCTGTCATAGTACAGAATCTTTTCTGATCAAAGTAAAGACTAGTGTTGGAAACTAGAAGAACCACACCTCACTCATCAGTGGGCTCATTAGCACTGTGCTCATTATTAGTGAGTGTTATTCTGCACAATCAGCAAAAGAAAAATTTGTTTGAATGAAACTGACATCAGCTAGCATAATAATGCCCCTCAACTGACTCAATCTTACTTTTTAGCCTTTTGGTAATTTATATGCCAATCTTAGAAGAAGTCCTTTCTAAAATCTTACTGACTGTAAACCCAAGTGTTTAAAGTATAAGGAGTTTCAATTGAGGGATAAAATAAGCAACAAAAATAATTTTTAATTGATGTGATGACAACAGGAAAAAAAAACCCTATGACAACAGAAAAAAAAAAACCCTACTAAATTCATCTTCTACAGCAGGACTGAAACTTTGACCTTAGAAAGGATATTCTTGTTCTTCTCCTTAGTTCTGCCTGTCACAGCAGCCCCTATGCACCACAGGCTGGCAAGACTTGAATCACAGAAATGAGCCACTACATCAGAGTAATGTGTTTATCATTAGTATGCTAAACTCACAGCTTGAAAATCAACTGAGAAAGTGGAAATAATGAAGAATAAAAGAAAAGAAAACTGTTTGACTTGGTGAATCATAAGCACAAAGTTTAACTTCAAAATATTGTCTTAAATATAAGATATATAAAAAAAAAAATCTCTCTTTGATCACCTCCCCCTGAGGGGGGAGCAGCCTTCCCAGGCCACAGAGAGAACTGATAGACTAAGATCAGAAAGGAGAGGAGATCCTCCCCTATCAGTGGACTTGGGGAGGGGCATGCATGCAGAAAGGAGAGGGAGGTTGGGATCGGGAGGGGAGGAGGGAGGGGCTTATGGGGGGGATACAAAATAAATAAAGTGCAATTAATAAAAAATTAAAAAAGTTTTAAAAAAATCTCAAGTTGTAAGAGATCACTGCTCATCAGGGAACAACAATTTTAGTATTTAAAAGTGACCATGTGACATCAAACACAACCATTCCCAGAGGTTTCATGCCATTACAGGGCAAACTAGTATAGTGCATAAACTGAAGTGATTTTAGTGGCTGAAAATATCCCCTTAAGCATATCCACAATGTCAACTTCGTACATCTTAGTATTAGCCAAATATGCTCTAAGTAATAGTCCTTTATCTATTACTTCTAATTAATTAGTTTCATAACTTTCTTACTGTAAAATATATACTCACCTCCATGAGACTGGAGTGTATTCCAATCAGGTATGGCATTGGGGCACTAAATTAAAAATATATGTGTGTATAGATTCATATAGTTCATTAAAACTGAAACAACATAGAAGTAAGTCAAATGCTTAAAAACTAATTTCAAGTGCTCAGTTCTAACATAAGACATTACAGATATTCAAAATTATTCAATGTACAAAAGTTAAATTTCATCTTACAGGCTATTACTACATTTAAGGCTGGATTACATAAAATTATCTAAATCAGTTATTATTAAATCAAAAGTTCTATACCTAAACAACATATTTTATTTAAGAAGACTACCAGGGTGTAGGTCACATTCAATCTTTTCCAAATAGTTGATAGCAAATATATTCTAAATAACCATCAAAAGTATCTGCATTCCTTTTATACATATTTCTCGTTCAATTTGAATGTTTCTGTTATTTTAATGGGTATTTTATGCCTGTTATGTCACTCAATACCTACTGTGTCAGTCCACCACTAAGGCACCAAATGTTTGCCTCATCATGTTTTCACTGTTCTAGAACTGTGATGCAGACATAGTAAGTGCCCGTGCCCCTCCCCTCACCAACCTTCAGAGTCTTCTTTTGTTGTTACTAATAGTGATTGTACGAAAAGTCTAAGACTTTCAATGTTAATGATTTTAAACTAATTAACTCAAGTCATGATTTCGGGAGGATACCAGATCCAGGCACTAGGAAAGAAACTTAGATACAGTTTGAAACAATGTAAATGGGATACATTTTCTCCTGGATCTTACACTGTAGCAAAGAAATACAGATACTAAATCATTTTAGTATGTCACATATGAATTATGTAAATGCTAAAAAATTGTTAGGAAATAGAAGTTGCAAAGTATTCATTTTGAAATTTCAAACTAAATTATAAAAAATACTATGAGGACAGGCAGATGTTTATGAAAATAATAAATAAATAATATAAGAATAATTTTAAAAAACACATTTGGGGAACCTTTCTATAGATATCTCAGACCTTTAACCTTTTTTTCTAATGAAAATTCTTTTTCTCAAATGCTACAATGTTCTGAGCATCACTGCCATTACCCAGAACTGCCCAGCCTCCTGCATGTGCACTTCACTGCAGGGAAGCAGGAATAGGTGATGCTCACAGTCACCGTCACCAGTCCAGATATCTCACGTCATGTCAGAAAGTTCAAAATTTAGTGAAGGATGAATAACAGTGATACATGTATCCAGAGTCCCAGAGTCCGTAGGTTATGTTGTTTCTCATCACTATGCACATGCAACATTTCATTTCTACTATATTAATTCTCATTCCCGGTTGCCTTTGCTTACTGTAGCCTTGTTCCTTCACATTCTTTTAAAATTCTACACATCTGACCATCTGGATGGAGTTGGTGGGATATTCTGGAAACTTCCCTTGACTACTTACTTGTCTCATCTCCTCTAGAACTAACAGATTTTCTACCTTCAAAGGGAAAGAGAAACAATGTAGACTGTTGCACCTTTGTTGGCAGAAGGGAAAATTATTATTGCTCTAGTCCTAAGGGATCTTGTCCCTGGGTTTCTTCTGAGACTCCACAGAAGACATAAAATGCAGATCACTACCCACAGTTCTAAGGGCAGCCTTGGCCAACTGTAACAAACAAGCTGGGCAGCTATCAGTATCTTAAATATGGCACGTCCACCAAAACTCAAAAATAGTATAGCAATATTGAAATCACTATGTGAACTTCCAGTTCCCCTAAGGTTTAGAATATTTTAACAAAAACATTTATAACACAAAAGCCCACAATAACTCAAACTCCAAAGGATGTTTTAATAAGTGTTAAAATACTCAAGCCTTGTAAAACTAAGGAGTAGTATATCCATCTTAAAATGTTGGACAAACACTGAGTAGACTGGCATTTCACAAAACTGGAGTATAGCAAACTAATAATCATAGGAAATACATTCATACAAACTCTTCAAAAATGTTTCTGAAAGCTATTTGCTTTCTGAGATACAATGATATGTTCATATAAATTAAACTAGAATTAAAATAATATAGTAACAAACTCCTAAGACAAATGGGATCACTGAACATTGCTATATAGTTTATTTTTTCTCACTAATTTGTAGCAAAATCCAAAATGCACAGATGCTAGAACTGAAAACACTAGAGTATAATTTTCTACAATCATTAAATCTGACAGAATGTAGTGTTTATAGAGTCAAACGGATAGCTGTGTCTTTCCCATTAGACTGTATATATCCTACTGTGGTATGAGCCAAATCTCAGGGAAAGTCACTTTGTGATCCCAGCTGGCCATCCTACTTTGGTAAGGGTGGTGGTACATCAAAAAGAGTTCAGAGTCGACACAGATGCGCTATTATCCACATATGACACAGTGTCAGGTGCTCTTTTCTGTGGCATTACTTAGAAAAGACAATACAGATGGCTCAAAACTGTTTCTTCTTTGTGGTAGAATCTTTACTCAATCGCTTTTCTTTTTTCTTTCTTAAACTGACTTACAAAGAACCTACCTTGACACATACTATTGCAGCAATCAGGGAGGTCTGAAAGAACATGTTTGTTTTATTTAATTTACTTCTTAGAAGCCAAATCTGAATATTTTAAGAACTAATCAGAAAAGCCAAGTAAAAGACTAACTTAAGCCCTGCTTGAGCAGATAAGAATCTGTGATAATCTTACAGCCACACTTCCTCTTATCTACTTATGGATCCGGGGAGTTTTTAAGTGTTTCACAATACATGTGCCATATTGGAGTCCAGTTATTTTGCTTGATTAAGAGAAAACACTTTCTCCTGAGAGATTTTCTGAACCTAGGAAGAGTGCTGTCCACTACTGCTCCAGTTGCCACCCGTGTCTCTTTAGTGTGACCCTGCTACAGCAAATACAATGTTACAGAATTATTCTAGACTTAGATGTGCACACAGAGGTACATGGATATGCATATGTTTCTTCTGGTGAATAAAAGAAGCTTATTCGTTGCATAATGTATTCATAGCTTGCCAAGAAGGTGGTCTTTAAATGGTGGGTGGGTGGGTGGGTAGGTGGGTAGATAGATGGATGGTTGAAGTGGTAAGACTGTCAAAGGACCAAGTTGTGATATTCATCTATGGTCACAAGAGGGCATTATGGTTCTCCAAAGTCTATGGCACCTCACCAACACCAGGTGCAAACACAGAAATGTTATGTGGATCCAACTATTTCAGTAATTGAAATATCCCAATCACTTTGGAAAGTTAAGCAAGATACATGTATTCCTCAAAAAAACTGCAGCCCAATTTGGAACTTGATGTGAATTATTTGTTCTATTACCTTGATATTCATAAGATAACTTATGTTTTTCTTCCTTCAGCAAATATCAGTATGATCCTAATATCAAGAATATAAATGGAGGACAAATTTTCCCTAGGAAACTGCTCACGCTATCATATTTTCTAATGATAGAAAGAAGTTGCTTAGATGAATAAACAAAAGCTGGGACTATCATATGACTTTTGGCTCAAAAAGTTTCAAGTAATTTCTTGTTTGGACATTGATCTTGACTCTGAACCAGTGGGAACCCGGCATGGAGGCTGTTAGAACTTGGCCTAAGGACTATTTCCAGCACTGGAGCAAGCAAGCAACAAGAAAGAAAAGGGGAAAGAGCTTTTTCACTCTTAGTGGAAACAGCAGTAAAGACTTGAGGCAGGGTTAGAATCAAGAAAACAGTTCTGGAAAGAACTGGTGCATTGCTGAATACTTTAAAATAACATTTTAAATATATAATACTACAGTGAATCAAGTTTAAAGGTTGACCAGAACATTTTCACAGAAAAATTATGATGCAACTAGTATTGCAAAATGCAATTCTAATCCTATAATTAATTCTCAAAATCATCTTCATTGTCTAAGACTTTGAGAAAAGAAAATTTTACATGTTTAGTTACAGAATGTTGTATAAAAAAATCTATTGTTTATGTCAACATGAACAAACTGCATTCTCTGCCTTTAAGGAGGAAAAATATTTTAAGTGTGGTGGTCAAAGGAAAATTCTAAAATGCATAACAGAAAAGCTTACTTACTGATCTGGCTTTATACTGAGATTTGTGTTTGTGTTACACTTCACAATATAATTAAATTACATCCTGTAGTATACAAAAGTATTTTTCCTTTCAAGTTCCCCAAGGAAAGAACAGCAGGAGTGAGTCACTGGTACCTACCTCACAGCATGAGCAATACTGCTGCTACCCTATAGAAATACACACTACAGCAGTGTAATCATGGACAAGTACATGCATTGTTCTCAAGAAGACTAGTCACAGAAACTTCATGTAACACCTACCGACCATGTGTAGAAACACTGTGTATTTAAAGAATCACAATCCTTAAATACCTTAAATAATGTTTTCATGATAATTTTAAATAAGTATATTATTCGAAAGAACTTTGATTTTTACTAATACTAGTTTTGATATAAGGAAATCATCAATACCAAATGATTTTTCTTCTTTCTCTCTCTCGCTCTGTGTGTCTGTGTATGTATGTGTGTGTATGTGCATGTGTGTGAATCATATATGAATCATGCATGTATACAAAGGCATGATTTGGAGAAAGATTTCTTAAAAATTATGCTATGCCTGCATGTGATAATATGATAAAAACAATTCTTTACCCTCCAGTACCAAAACTGCTGCGTTGCAGTCTAGTTCTTGTGTAGCTTCACCATACACAATCAAAGCTTCTGCTCTGGAGTCTACTCCTTGTCTGGCCTTGCTGTATGCAAGCCTTGCTATATTCCAGTCAGGGAGAACAAGGAGGCCATTGGCCGTTGTTCTAGCTTCTAGTGGCTAAACTCAGATTACTGAGCTCACTGGGAGTTGTTTCTAAAGCCAGCCAGTTCTCACAAATACTCTCACACTTTCCACACTCTTTCTCATGATTGCTTTAGGCTGACACTTGGCTTCATACCAGACTCTGACAAATTCTTCTCTTAGAAGTAACCACATTGACAATACTGTTTTCAGGTTACTACTAAGTGAGGACGTGAAGGGAAAGGTTGTCACCACTTACCCTGATAGAGCCAATGGGATTATGGGTAGATTTGATAGAAAAATGCTGATACCTGGAAGATTGTTCTCTGACACCAGAACCTTTGTATTATCTTTGAGCCACAAAATAATTCTTACTTACACATCTTTTTTTCTAAATGACTACAGAAGAAACTTGTAAAATTCAAAGAACTATGCTTGCCAATAGATTTCTATTATCTTTGGAAAGAATACTGACACATATTGAAGTACTCTTTAATACTTACAACTAATCTGAAAGTCAGGTTTCTGTGGTTTCTTTAATCTCTACTGGCTGCAATGTAGAGATACCTTTCTAATGGCGAGATCTAGCTTTCCAGGAGCCTGGCAAAGGCCAGCTTACCAGCAGTAGTCCAGCAGGTGCGGAGGGAGCACGGGGATGTATATGTGCTGCCAGTACATCGGGTAGAGCAGGGCAGCCGATCCATGGAGACAGGCAGTCAACTAGAATTCACAGAAGGGTAACAATCATGAGGCGCTGCTGACCCTCTGAAGAAAAAGGCCTATTCAAGGTAACAAAGATGAGTGATCATCACGGAACAACTTACACAGTGACACAGCTCACACTGTGTTTACCAAGTCTACATGTAAAAGTCTGTGCCTCAAAAGTCCCTCTGAAAAGCACACAACAGCAAAAGGGGTTTCTTGGGAATCATATGCAAATTGTTATATTCAACTTGATACCATAGTTAGGGTTAAATTTTGAACCATAAATAAAAGTTGAACTGAAAAAAATTGTAGAGTCTCTTTAAAAATATTGTAGGAAATGACAATTTGTGCAGCACAGTTTGCGCATCACTCAGATTAATACAACACGATTAAGTATGGGAAGAAGAGAGGCTGAACGCTCCTGAGGGATATCATTAGGGCAAATTGCCAAAGAATGAAACATGAGCCAGTCAGGAGAGTCTGGAAGCCGTGCTAATACCAGGGGACTTAAATGTTCGACAGTTGGAGCTTCAGTAACGTGTGAACTGTGGCTTATGGTATCAAGAGACCCTGTTCACTGACACATAGAATGTCACTATTGACCAGCGAGCTGCCCAAGCTTGACAGCTGTACTACAGGAAGCCAAGTATATCATAATTTCGTATTTAAACTGCTCATTCCAGATTAACATTTTGTTTCCTAGCTTATATCGCAGCAGCTGCAATTACACTGTTGCTACTTTAGAGGTAATTGCCATTTTAATTGTTGTGTTTTGGCAAGCAGTTAATTAAAAATATTTTAATACTTAACAAAGGGATACCACTTTTTTTTCCCCTCCTGGCTAATCCCTATTTTAAAAATTACTGTAGTTATAAAGTATATTTTTACTAATTAAAGGAGTAATTAAACAAATGTTATTTTTCACTGTTTTAGAGTTTTACTATAGTCTCCATTTCAAGGTTCCCAATTAAGGTCATTTTAATTACCTTGAAAGTAAGAATTTTTTTATCAACTATATGAAAATGAAGCACAAACTTTCCAAAAGAAAATAGCTGCTTTTTTTTTTTTTTTTTTTTTTTAGGAGAAGTTAAAATATACACACAATAAGTACATCTAAAACAGTACATGCACACAAAGCCGGCAACGTTTCATTAACAGTACCACTGTGCTACATGTAAATATAAAATAGCTGCATTCAATAAAAAAGTCAATGACAATAATCGATCTAAAATAAAAACACGATAATTTTCAATCACCCTTAGCATGTATACTATATATTACCCAGTCAAGACTTTTATCAGTGTTAGGTGACAGATAATGCTGTCTGACTCAAATGTGCTATCTGATACCCACAGCACTCCAGTGCCTTGCACACAAGCTTGCTAGTTTATCGCAGCACTCTCTCCATAGATAATGCTTTTAATTCCTTAATTACAGCAAATATTACGCCAGTAGGAGGCATTCACATACTTCTGTTTAACAAGTACGGACCACGGATCTGAGTAGGTTACAAAGCAGGCTGGAGGCTGAAAATGAGACTGAACTACATACTCTGTCAAAGTCTCCAAGAGCTTTCAGACACTGGTTGGGAACTTTGCGTCTTTAAGGTTTTCTAAGCTAAGAAAACCTTTGAAAGGCAGAGTTATATACTTTCTTCATGTGGGAACAAATAACTTGTAACATCTCATTTAAAATTTTAAAAAAGAAAGTTTTCCTTTCTTATTGAGAAAAAAAATGTGAAGCCATAAGAAAAGCTCTTGTCACAATGAGGAGCTGCTGTGAGGACAAGTTTCACCCAGTGCCTGTAATGTGAATAACCACCAGATGCCCCTCCCCATAAGCCGGGCATCCCTAAACATGTTACTCAACAGTCACCAGCAAGCAATAGCATTATGTGGCAGAATGGGCTGGCTTCTTAGAAGATGGCTTTTAACACCATAAATCCTGAGTCACAAATCCTTGCACTGTCTAGTATTTGCAAAGGATACCCTTGCTAATCAGGTCTACCAGAGAAGAATTAAGTCATACAATCCTTGGATACTTTCCAGACAAGGAAATAGGGAGGAGGAAAGGTAAGAACATCGGACTTGTGTCTGGCTTAAGAAACTACACTGTATCAGTTGAATGAATACAGCTTATTCACTCACTTTACATCAACTTCAGACTTAGGTAGATGTATCTATAAGGAACCAGACTTTCCTAATGAGAGCAATTTTAATAAGAAATTGATCATAAGTGCAAGACATTCAAGCATATACTTATGAAGACAGAGGCCAAAGAAAATCCAATATTCACTATTCATCCAACAGTACACAGAGCTATACAATTTTAAAAATTGAGCAATTATGATAGAATAAAACTGAAAAGAAGACAGAGGGGCTGGAAAGATGGCTCAGCGGTTAAGAGTACAGTCTTCTATTCTAGAGGTCCTGAGTTCAATTCCTGAAAAGAACAGTAAAGTTACAAATAAAGAAAATCAAAATTATGGGGCTACAACTAGGATGTAAAGTGAATTAGAAAAAATATGGAAAAAAAAGAAATAGCTGAAAATAAAATAAATTTTATAAAGTAAAATCAAAATTATAAAGAAATAAAACTAAGAAATTAAATATACATATGTAGGTTGCATGAAATCTCGCACTCAGTTTACCAGACATAGAGCTGTGAGATGAACAAGCCGCATAGCCTGAGATGCCTACTAAGCTCACCTGGTCTCAGGTGACCGACCTTTAACATGAGAAGTTTACAGTAGGTGTAAACACTGTTAGTCACCGGTCAAACACTCCTTATTCTTAGAGGAAATCAATTCTAGTATTTCATATTTTTAGTAAAAGATTATCTGACCCAGGTTGGTCATAGTATATATAGTCCACCAAAATATATCCAAAGATTGAGTCTAAATGTTTTAAAGCCACAGGCAATAATTCAAGTAACCCAATTAAAAAATGGGGTATGGAGCTAAACAGAGAATTCTCTTTAGAAGAATATAGAATGGCAGAGAAACACATAAGGAGATGTTCAACATCCCTAGCCATCAGAGAGATGCAAATCAAAACGACCCTGAGATTTCACCTTACACCCATCAGAATGGCTAAGATCAAAAACTCAAGTGACAACACATGCTGGAGAGGCTGTGGAGAAAGGGGAACCCTCCTCCACTGCTGGTGGGAATGTCAACTGGTACAACCACTATGGAAATCAATCTGGTGCTTTCTCAGACAATTAGGAATAGTGCTACCTCAAGATCTAGCTATCCCACTCCTAGGCATATATCCAAAAGATGCTCAAGTACACAACAAGGACATTTGCTCAACCATGTTTGTAGCAGCTTTATTTGTAATAGCCAAAACCTGGAAACAACCCAGATGTCCATCAACGGAGGAATGGATACAGAAATTGTGGTACTTTTACACAATGGAATACTACTTAGCAATTAAAAACAAGGAAATCATGAATTTTGCAGGCAAATGGTGGGATTCTAGAAAAAAATCATCCTAAGTGAGGTATCCCAAAAGCAGAAAGACACACATGGTATATCCTCACTTATATAGACCTATAAGATAGGATAAACATACTAAGATCTGTACACCTAAAGAAGATAAACAAGAAAGAGGTCCAGGGGTAAGATGATCAATCCTCATCTAGAAAGACAAAGGGGATGGACATTGGAAATAGGAGAAAACAAGTAACAGGACAGTAGCCTACCACAGAAGGCACCTGAGAGACTCTACCTAGCAGTGTATCAAAGCAGATGCTGAGACCATAACCAAAGCTTCGGCAGAGTGTAGGGAATCATATGAAGGAAGGAGGAATTACTATATCCTAGAGGGGACAGGGAGCCCCACAAGGTCCAAGTATATCTGAGCACAGGGGTCTTCTATGAGACTGTTTATCCAACCAAGGACCATGCATGGATATAACCTACAACCCCTGCTCAGACACAGCCCATGGTAGCTCAGTATCCAAGTGGGTTCCCTAGTAAGGAGGACAGGAATTGTTTCTGACATGAACTCATGAGCTTCCCCCCGCCCCTGGAAGGAAGGAGCAGCCTTACTAGGCCACAGATAAGGACACTGCAACCATCCTGAAGATACCTGATAAGCTAGGGCCAGACGGAAGGAGAGGAGGATATCCCCTCTCAGTGGACTCGGAAGAGGGCAGGGAGGAGATGAGGGAGGGAGGGGAGGATTGGGAGGGAACGAGGGAGAGGGCTACAGCTGAGATACAAGTGAATGTATAAAATTATTTAAAAATAAAAAATATTTAAAAAAAGAAAATCAGAAAAATCATAACATTTATTTGCTGACACTAGCAAAAAAAAAATGAATACATTCCATATGCCAATAGACAAGGACATAATACTGAACACCCAGTCATCATCAAGCTTACATGTCATAGGGAAGACTAACAATAAGGATATCATACCTTGGAAGTTGAGCATCCTCATATAAAATCTCCAAACCCCAAGGGCCTCTAAATTCTTTTTTTTTTTTTAATGACAACATGATATTAAGTGGAAAACTCTACCCCTGACCTCAGGTAGCAGGTTTCAGTCAAAATGCATATATACAAAAAATACTGATTAAAATTACCTTCATGTTACATGCCCAAGGAACATACAAAACTTGAAAGAATTCTGTTTGTATTCTGATCCCACACTCAAATATTTCATAATGTATCTGAAAATATTCCCAGTCAAAACAATCAGAAACATCTCTGCCCCAAGTATTTCAGATGAAAGGTCATGTCAGTAAGAAATGCGATGAGATCTAAACTAGGGTGAGTGTGGGAAGTCAGAGAAGCTTTGTAGACAGGATTGAAGGACAGCTCTGATATGACTGGAAGTGCCAAATAAAGTAAGAGGACAGTCTCCTGTGGAACTGGGAAGAACATTCTCGGCCAATGGGAAATGACAATCACAACCTTGCATTAGAAATGCTCCTAGTCTCTGCACAGAGCAATTAGAGGCTATTGAGATTACACAGAGTACGCGGGAAGATGACAGAATATGGGCT